GGCATTACTCTGGAACACCACAAACCAGAACCGGCAGAGTATTCCAAAAGTGCATGTTTTTTTCCTAAAACTAAAAAACATAAGAAAAAATGAAGCTCTGAGGGAAATACGGGATGGTAGCTCATTGGCATTTCATTCATGAGTAGCAGAAAGAAAATACATACAAGCATGTTACATGTGCTCAGTAGCTTTCTGAAGTATTTTTTCATTATTAAGGTAAAGAAAAGGGATAAGAACTTTTTTTCCTGTAGTCCAGTGCTCTGTACTCCAAATGGACATCATTCTCAGGCCAATAAAATACAGTAGCTGCAGTTTTATAACACAAAGTAAAGAAAGAGAAATCCGAAGAATGAAATAGTTATAGGAGACAGATTACATATGAACTGCATTCAACAATAAGGGTTACTATAAGAGTACAAAGATGTTCCTTTACCTAGTGCTGCTTTTCCAGTAGCTGTGCATTTCTCATCTCAATATCTTGAAAGAAGTCGTAACGGTGAGTTTAACAAGGAGACATCAAGATTTGTACACAAGAATACATGTAAATATAATTTCTGCTCACTGAGCAAGAAAAATTTACCTAGTTAGGTTATGTCATTGTTTCCCCCTCTATAAAAGCAGGGACAAGGGAAATGACCTTAAACAAAGGGCTTTAATTGTCTTTTTTTTAAGTGAGAGACTTGATCTTTGTGAAATTCAGCTTCAGTAAAGAATTATTTTTATACTATAAGCATTGAACTGCTGGTTCACTGAAGCCAAATAGTTCTACTGATATGTTTAATGGAAACAGTACTCTACATCTAAAATTACGTTGCTTTTAGGACACAGTGAGGGCAAATGACCCCAGTTATTTTCTTACTCAAAGGAAAAAAAAGAGGCACTTGGGTAGGGGGATTGTAACAGTCCTAGATTAAAGAAACTATATGGAAGACTTGAATTTTGAGGAATAAAAGTTGAATTATTTTCATACAACACTAGATGAGATTTTTTTAAAGAAACTTGATATTTAATTATCTTATACTTTAATAATTCAGAAGAATGCATTTCATCCTTCTACACTGAAAATCAGGAAATGACTTGATGGCATAATAATGAAAATGTTTTCTTTTGCATTTCACAATTTAAAAATCAGTGTAAAGTTATCATTAACAGAAAAATCTCCTCTATTAGGTCAAGGGCAACATTTGTTCACCTTACTTAAAGATCATTAAAATACATTCTTAATCATAACATGTAGTTCATTACAAATAAAATTGCCTTTGGTTCAATAAAACTAATTAAATGTAAATGGTATTGTTTACTGCTGTATGGATCTTCTGATATAAATCAGCAAGTCACCATTTATTGAAAATTACAGTGACCTCATTGCTGTTAATAAATTTAGTTGATCACACAAGCTAGAGAAGAATGTCTCAGAACACGCATATTGCCAGAAGAACTGCCCCAGCTATAACTACGAAGCTCCAAGAAACCTAATCTAGGTGTTAACAATATTTGCTGCTCAGCCGTCATTAAATGACTTGTTGAAATTTTAATTCTCTGATCACATTAAGTGCTTGAGAAAGACAACAAAATCTGTACTGATCATCTCGGTGGTGTCATCTGTTCTTTAAGAAAAGCCCTGAAGGTCCGCAGGTTTGTTTATTCTGGGTGTCACAGTGGGTAGGGTTACAGTGCTGCTCTGTTGACACGTCTGACAGCTCATGCCAACACAAGATACTTATTTACACCAGGTAACTAAAGAAATCAAAACAAGGGACAATTATGGAGAGCATATTCTGTCGTACACACGACCAAACTGTTTATAGTCTATTTGATGCTTAGCTTGCAATCTCTTAAGTTATCAAAAATATATTTTAGTATCTAAACATGAACTGTAAGCCTCAGCTTTGAAAATAAACTGCAAGAACATGGAGAAGACACTGTAAAAAGTATGCGTTTACACGTGGGGAGTCCCTGGAAGCCAGGAAAAGCACTACTGCAATCAACAACTGTTACTTCAGACAGAAAGTTAGCTGAAACTATTTGATCCCTTACAGCAAACCCACAGAAGATCAGCCCAGAGACAGCAAGGGCAAAACGCTGGACCCCAAAGATTGCACCCCACACCTCCCAGGCTGAACAGGTTCTCTTTGTGAACACACCCCCCGCAGCCAACCGCTGGCTTATCATAAACACTTACAAAGTTAACCTTGGAAACCTAAGCCATTTTTGTAGCCACCCATACAAATACGAGCCTTCAATCCACTTTAAAGGCAGTTAAAACTGAATCAAAATATAAGTTTTGTGTCTTTGAAACGGCCAAGACTCAGAGAACTTCGAGCTCTCCACGTAACTCTTTGCAGACACAGAATACATCGTGCTCTACCCATTTTTTTTAC